TGCAGTTAGTTACACGAATTCAGATATGAGATGAAATCGGATAGGGATGAAATCGTTTAGGGATGAACGAGTTTAAGAGTTTTAAGAGTTTAAGAGTTTTAAGAGTTTTTAAGAGTTTTAGCCAAATGCTTTATAATATAGTATAGATATATATAAATTTAAGATATCTTTAATAAAAGCAAACCATGAGTTTACTAGATCAACACTAATGAGAAACACCAGATCAATTCCCTTATAAAGCACAATTCATGAGTTGGTTTGAGATTAAATGTGATCAATGGTCCAAATCATTTCTTATACTTCTCACCTTAATTCATATTCTCACACGATCTTTCGTCTTTTTTGGTGTTCATTAATATATTTATGTTAAATGTATAATTTACAAAATAAATAAATTATAGAATTATTAATTAACGATCAAACTATTTATATCTTCTACAACCAAAATCTCATTTAATAAATTATTCATGTTTTATTTTAAACAACAGAAAGAAGATGATAAAATTAATTGAAATACGCAATTTTTTTTTTAATTTTAATAATGTTTTTTTTTTTTGTTTAAAATCTAATATATAAATGTTTTAAGAAAGAATGTAAAAGAAACACAACAGATTCAAGAAAAGGTCCTTCAAAGTAGTCAATTTCAAACAATTTGGTTTTTGAAACGAATATAGTCATTAAACCTGTCATGAGTGACTTCGAGCAACAACATGTGGTCGCCAGGTCAAAGTAGCCACCGAACCCCCAATTGTCAGGTTGGGTCGTGTGACATAAGGGCACGACCAGATAACTAGGAGTCATGGTTCGCACACCAGGTCACCACAACCAAGAAAGGTGAGCTCAAGTCGCCTACCCAGTTCACATTGATCAAAGTTTGACCCAGTCTTGACTTGGTCAAATTGTTATGCTTAGTTAAATAGTAGTTCATATGTTATACGAACAGTACAAGTATTTAGATGCATGTAAATGTTAAGTTCCCTTACATGAAATTCACGAGTTTTATGTGCTTTAAAATTGGATGTATGTCGAGTATTTTCAATAAGGATCGACAATCGTTAAATGTGTTCAAAATCTGTAAAGATGGATATGCATGATAAGCATTTTATAGTACTGTATGTTTTGTCTCAGACTTTTATTGTTTTTTTTCAGTTGTAAAGACTTCCATTACAAGATAGTTCAGTATTGTAAGTTTTCACTGCATATCATTTAAACATTTATATGGATTGTCGTGAGATAAACATGACGTGCGTCTTCAAACTGAAACAAAGATAATAAATGTCATTAATCATAAATATTGTGAAAATTATAACATACAAAAAATACATCACATTAAGAAAAATATTAGTATAGACGTCGGTTCAAAAAAGCTAAATATCGTGATAAAGTAAAAAATAAAGGTCAAAGGAAGATTCATATGAGTAACCTGTAATGCCGGTTTAAATAAATTGTTTATCATATTTTCAGTGATTCACATATGAATCTTATATTGGTATAATTTTTTTAGTGTTGAATTTAATTTCTATTTTTTTAAAATTGGAGTAAGTTACGAATTTGGTCCTTGTGGTTTACACTTTTTATTCATAGTGGTCTCAAAATAAAAATAAATATAGATTTGGTACTTATGGTATGCATTTTTGCACACATTGAGTCCCTTCCTCTAACAAAATAATTTTTATCGTTAACCTAGTTGAATCTAGGGGTAATTTAGTCTTTTTCACCTTGCTTTGTTTTTATCCTAATTAAAACAAAATCCCTATGTTTGTAGCGATGGTCTTGGGAAGAAGAAACAGGGGAGGGGGCGTCAGGTTCTCCGGCGAAAACAAACGGTTTTGGGAAGAAAATGAAGGAAGATGAAGTCCTTGCGATGGTGGTTGGGAAAAAGAAACAAAGGGAGGAGATGGCAATCATAGAACGAGGTTGTCGGATCTGATGGTGGTGAAGAAACCGATGTCGGAGATGGCGGTCTGTGGTTTGTAGGAGGTTGATGTGGAGAAGAAACAAATGGTGGGTTTAGTGTTATGTGTGTGTGTGTATATATATATATATATAGAGGTTGGTTATTATATAACCTTTGACATTTATGCAACCAATACAACTCAATCTCAATCGTCCATTTCATTTGATTAATATGTGATTTTAGAAAAGTTTTGATTGTTTTCTAATATAAAGTATTGATCATAATTAATGAACCATATTCATCTTGCATAAATATTCAAATCATAATAAATGAACTCTCATTATTTTCATAAATATCTCAATTTATTGGGTTGCATTGGTTGTATAAATGCGACGGGTTGCATTTGAAACAAACTTTATACATGTATATATAATACAATTTATTAAAATATAATTGTTTAATTTTTATAATAAAATATAACAAAAATAACCTAAAAAGACCAAAGTACCTTCAACCTAATCGGACTTTTTAACAAAATTAGAGGAAGAGCCTCGATGAGTGTGAAAATACGTACTAAAGGTACCAAATATGTATTTATTTTGATTTTAAGACTACTATAAATAAAAAATGTAAACCATAGGGACCAAATCTGTAACTTACTCTTTATCTTGGGAGGGAAATTTGGCCTTAACTAAGGTAAGGTTCGTATGAATTGCCTTCAAACGATTCACACCGTGTTTCCATGTCCCACTTGTCTCCTCAACTTGTCTGCTGTTTACTTTAGGAAGACTTTGACTTCTTCAAACATTTTTAGAATTTAATTAAATAATTAAAATAAGGTTTAAATCTAACTACATGTACATATTACTAGTGATGTAACTATGCTTCATCACAGTTTTAAAACATTAGTTTGACCTTAAATCATGAGTTTATGTGGTTATTTTACAAGTCAATTAATATATAAAGTTGAAGGTAAATACGATGTAAACAATGAGATTCTTAAACCAGTATCTTTGTACAAATAGGTAAAGGTTCGAGTGTAGACACTCGACTCTTGAACCAATATTATGTCATCGTGTATCTTATTTACAAGTTACACGATGGTGTTGAGGCATGGTAGTATGGACCCGATTGGAAGTTCCAACTAAAACCGTTACGATCCCGTCCCATTCAATTTAAAATCTATGACGATATTATTAGATCTGTTAAGGTCCCACGTCATATAGACGTAGATCATTCATGTTTGATACTCGTTGAAACTTTCGTTATTCATCGTATTCTTACAAGATTCAGAAAATCTAACAAACAACAACAGTAGTTTAGATTGAGGTTGATTGATGTCTCTTTCAATAATTTCTTCCGGAGACCAAGGGGTAATTTTGTAAATTCACCCATTTCTTGAACTTTATATAAGGGATCACCCATCACAGACCACCATCATCTTCATCCCACAGTCTTCCTCTCTACTGTTGAACTCTGCAACAATGGAGAAGATGGCAGATCAATTCAAGATACGCAACATCAACTCAACGCGAAAAACCCATTTCATCAAACTCAATAACATCTTCTCCATCTTCATCTTCATCGTCTTGATCTCGTTTTCTGTATCGATCTGTTCTCASACTCACCATTTCACCGATTCCAATGACCGACACTATATCTTCCTGCTCTGCAACGGAATCCTTTTCTTCCTATTCATGAACTTCGATTTGACCCATGGTTCTTCACTGAAACAGAATCAACCAGTGATCACCGGTGAAATCTACCATCCACCTCCACCTCCACCTGTGCTGGTGTCGTCAGCCATGGAACCAGTAGCCGCCATGGAAGAAATCATCAAAGAAATCATCGAAGAAGAAGATGATGAAATGGAGCTAAACGGGAATCGGGTTTATGTAAATGAAGATGAAAATGCTGTTTCAATCATCCAAGATCGAATTGAAGATGAAATGGCGGAGCTGCAGCAACTTGGTGTTGGTGTTGTTGAAGAAGAAGAAACAGGGGAATCAAAAGAAGCAGCAGAAACAGAGGAATTGAACAAGAGATGTGCGGAGTTCATAAGAAATACGAGAGAGAGAATGAAATACGAATCATCGTATCACTACGTATCACTTCAGTCGACCAAAATAAATGCAACATTTTCCTTTTAGGGTAAAATAATTGCTAACTTTCTATACTCAGTATATCTTTAATTTAAAGAAAATGTAAGAAGTTAATTGAAATACCAATATTTAAAACTGTTTGTCTAGAAAACCTTGATATGTTTTTCATCATTCATCTCTCACCGACTCCTTTGATTAATCTATCCGCATAATTATAAGAAATAAAGAAAATTGAGTGTAACTAAACAAGATTAATAGTCTAATTAATTTAATGTTTGCTAATAATTACATCAATAAAAAAGACAAAAATATAAATATAAATATGAATATACATATTATTATATTCAAGTCTCATGTAT